TGGGCCCCCTCGCCCCACACAGACAGCACCTCTGCTTTGTAACAGCCACCTCGGGGTTCTTCCAGTTTCAGTCCCCTGAAACTTTTCAGTAGTTTAAGAAAATAGTCAAAAGCATTTCAATAGCATCAGAAAAAGATCACATAGGAAAAAAGTTTTAATCCAAAACTCTCTAGTCTTAACACACACAAGCAAATGTTTATTTACTCATCACTTTTGTCAGCCGAGATTTATTCTGAAAATTTAAACCTCAGCCTGAAACATTAAGTTTACTCATTTTATTCAAAGGCTGATTTTCTGATTTTCCAGCATTTTTAGCATGATTAGATTGTCTTTTCAATCAGCATCTGTGCCACAGAGAGCATTCTGTATTTCATATTTACAGCTACGACTATTCAGCAAGGAACCACAAGTATTCTACAAGCTTTTTTTTTTAAAAAAATAAAAACCCAACACAGTGGATTACTGAGTAAAAACAACTGTCACAATACATCTCTGATCTTGCAGTCGGATCAACACAGATCATCTCCCTCTACATAAAAAGCCGTAAGCACTTGTTACAGTTTGCTGGCAATGTTTTTGGCCTGCCAGACAGATTTCTTAATTTTATTGAAAATAATCACTACAAATACAGTTCTTATCTTATTTTGTAAGCATTACTCCAAAACTGTAAACAGCTAATTCCTGCTATTCCACAGAGCTCTTGGAGTGGTTTATATAAGACCATGTTTTAATGACACTTCATTATAATCAGGACAAAAACTTCTCATTTTGCAATCTCCATATTAAATTTCATGCATGCATAAGTAAGGAATATTCTAAGATGAAAAACTACTCAGAGAGAGCATCCATCCTTGTAATTTGTGCCTTTCCCGCTACACCACTAGGAAGCTTTTGCCTAAAACTTGGGTTGCATGTACAGAAACTGGAATACAATTAACAGCCTATTATCCACGAGATTATGTAAATTGTGGGTTAAGCAGGGTCAGTTTTTTTACTGAAACACCCCTGGCTTCCACAAAGCACAATGCTGCTTCTATCAGACCCCGTACTTACTATCTGTTGCTACTGTAAGGCTGACCTTGTTCCCCCACAGAAAGCTATCCACAAATTTTTTAAAAAGGTGCATATTCCAAGTGTATCCCTGTAATTCAATTTATATTATTTATCTTACCATTTTTCCCCTTTATCTAGGATATCTTTTCCCACTCCCAATTATTACTATGAATAGAGTAGAACTGACTATGACTACAACAAATACTCAATTTTTAGATCTTTTGATTTAGAAATCCTCTGGAGCCCCCCAGTAATGAAAACAGCACTTTATTTGAAATTCTTGGCACACATTTTTGCCCACAAGTATTTCATAAGCTGCTCCAATTAAAAAGAGCATTCAAGGAAAAACACTGCTATGACACCACCCCCCAACCTCTCTTTCCCCACAGACTGTGACCACCAGAAGAGCCAGTATTCCAGCTGTTGAGGGCTTTCCTTGGGAGCCCAGACTGAGCTGATGGAGCCTTCAGGTACCAAACCAGGGCTGTTTGTGGCTTTTGGGAATTCCAGAGGTGAAGATGGGGGAAGATGGAGTTTAGTTGCACATGGGAACAGGATTAAAAAATAGGGGATGTCAGCAAAATAGAGTTCTTGTCCTCTCACTGTTGACACCACTAAGCAAACATTCCACCCACGGATCTTAAACAATTAGAATAAAAAGCACAACCCAACTTTTGTCCAATGTTGAACTCAAGGTAAATTAACTGTAAAATAACATGAACAGCAGCACAGTTAACAGACACCATATATTTTATGAAAACTTTTCACAGACAAAAAAAATAATAAGCTTCTTAGTGTTTCACTAAGCACATGTTCAGTCTGTCAAAATCACTGAACTCATTTGGACAAATATAAAGCTTCAAAAAAGTGGTAACAGATGAGGAAAACTACCAGGTTGAAACACAACTTTAGAAACTGAGATGAAGGTGGGGAAAAAAACCCCACACCTTTCAATCTGCCCCAAAAGAACACTGATAACTCGTATGAAGTTCACACCTCCCATTTTGAACATAGCAGAGAGAGAGTAAATAGTATATATAACACTGACACTCTTCAGCCATTGACACAGCTACAGAACAAGTAGATTCTTAACAAGAACCCAATCTATGTACTGTGTAGGACTGTGGCTTTGATGAACAGTTCAAGTCAGGCAATTTTGTAATTAAAAACAGAAGAAACATAAAAGCAGACAGATTAAGTGGCCTGACAGACAGCACAGATAAGATCAGTGGACAAAAAGCAGAGTTACTGCTCAAATCCTGGCTCTGTCTTTAATAAATTAATCTCAACTGCATCACTTACAACGTGTCCCTTCTGTCTCATTGTCAATATTCATAAAAACATCAGTCTTTGCTGCTTAAAAAGACTCTGAAACATGTTTGACTTTTTTCCCCCCGTCTTTTCTTTTAATTTAAACAGAAATTCAGCAATCTCTGATTCAATCATATGAAGGACTGTAACTTCAGAATACTCTTCTTCTAGTAGCAAATTCACTGCAAGGGTGTAGCTCAGCAAGGATTCTAAGCAAGCTTAAGCCTGGTACCACCTCTAAATGCTTCTTCACCACATTTGGGGAGGCACATGGGGAACCAGATTGGAGAATCACTCCAGCTGGAAACTAACATAACAAAATCACACTGATTATTTTCAGCCACAGCATTTTCTTGACTTAGCTCGCTGCCTGGCTGCCAAAAAAATGTTTCTTCTGCCAAGGGGTATGTGAAAACAAGGACAAATGCAATAATAAAAGCAACATCTTTTCTTCCTGTAGCAGCAACAACTTATGCCACTGTAAAGCACTTACGTGGCCATGGACTAAAAAGGTATGGCACTCATTCCTGCCAAGACAACTCTTTCTCTGCCCATGAACTAACCTGTTTGCTGAGTGATTCAGTCTTAAGAAACCCTTTGTTACTTATTTTTTAAATAAAGCCATATTACAGAACTTAGGTAGACAAGGGGACTATGCACAACTGAACTGGTAGACCCAAGGGCACCTCTTTGAGACACCAAGAGCTCATTTTAAACCAAATCTGCTGCCAAAGTAACAGAACCAGTCTTGGAAAAGGCGTTAGCTCCAAGAGGATGATGATGATTCTCAAGGAAAGTTTTTGTAAAACAAAAAACATCTCTCTATATATACACACAAGCATTTTTAGTTTAGCTTTAGATTTTAGAAAGCAATGTTGTTTTGCCAAGATTTTGTACCCTCCGCTTCATCCCCTGTCTGCCTCCCCCCTTTTCTTTTTCCTCTTTAAGAATCAAGCTTAAAATATGAACAATACAAGTTGAGACACTAGAACAAACACATTAAGGAGTCTGAAGTGAAACACTTAATCTACTTTTAATTTATTGTATTTTAATCACCAAAGGAACTGGTACATGTCAGCCACTGACGATGCACTGTAATTACTGTGTCTAGGTATGCAGATTTAGCACATTTGTTTACTGTTATTCATAACTTAGATGTCCACAGACAAGGCTTTATGTTGGCTTACTTAAAAAAAAAGGCAAGTTTCCTGTAGAAATAAATAGTTACTACGGCACCCTGGATCTAAGTTTTATAGTCCAGATGGTAGGTCATGACACCTCTTCAGGTTCAATTTATGCTCCTCAAAGCCTTAGAAATGTTGTTAGAGGCGCCAGGAATTCGCCTACAGAGCTGACTCCAGCTCCTAAGATTACTGCTCTGGTTACGTGGAGACACCAATTTAAAGCTGAGTACTTTTTAAGTGT